GGCGGGCTGTGCCCGGGCAGCCATGGACGAGTGCACGGACGAGGGCGGGCGGCCGCAGCGCTGCATGCCCGAGTTCGTCAACGCCGCCTTCAACGTGACCGTGGTGGCCACCAACACGTGTGGGACTCCGCCCGAGGAGTACTGTGTGCAGACCGGGGTGACCGGGGTCACCAAGTCCTGTCACCTGTGCGACGCCGGGCAGCCCCAGCTGCAGCACGGGGCAGCCTTCCTGACCGACTACAACAACCAGGCCGACACCACCTGGTGGCAGAGCCAGACCATGCTGGCCGGGGTGCAGTACCCCAACTCCATCAACCTCACGCTGCACCTGGGTAAGCGGTGACAGCCCTGTCCCCGGGCTCCTCCCAGCAGCCCCGCTCCCGGGCCGTTTCCTCCCCCTGGTCCAGCCCGACGGCCCGGCACTGCGGCGAGCCTGATCCCTGCTCCCGGCGCGGGCCACGCAGAACCCTTCTCCGACTCTGAAATAGGTCGAGTCCTCGCCTCGTCCAGGGGCCGGGACGCTCTGACCCTCGCCCTCTGCTCTTCTGTCCTTTCTAACGCAGCGGGAGCCCCGCGTCCTCGATTCATTTGGGCTGGTAGAATTTCCGTCCGTTTTTCTAAAGCAGGGATCATAAACTGGCATCCTCGCCTTTCTCTGCCGTAGTCGGGCAGTCCCGGCTCTGAGACTAGACGGTCCGCCCTAGGCGCTTTTGCCTCTCGGGTCTTCAGACGCCTCTCTCCAGGCCTGGAGGCGACTGCTTTTTCTCTTAAGGGAGTCGAAGGGAAGCAAATGCCTTGACTGCCTGTGTTGCCGACGTCTACTTAAAATAGAAATTCACTTTTGAAATGATTGTTCTTCAGAGGCGTTCAGCCTCAGCTAAGAGCCACCAAGCGATTTCTCTTCTAATCCTGGTACAGAGGAGACAAAAGAAGTTGTCCACTCTGTCATTGCTGGGCACAGTTCTGTCCCTGGGTAAGAAGGCTCTCCTCACCCTTTTCGCCATTTGCTTTGATTCAAAGCCAGCGTAGAAACACATGCAAGTGACCTTTTTGAAGTCAGTAAAGGAATGTATAGAAAACTTGAGGGTAGACAGGGTAGACGAGGAAGGAAATGCTTTCTAAAGGTATCGAAAATCACGCTCTATCTGGGTAAGTTTGTCATCATTGAGACACATGAACAAGCAGAGAGTCCTTGTGTTTAACAGAGTTACCGGGACATGAAGAACTGGCTTAGGTTTGTAGAAACCCATCCTCAGGGCACTGGGCGTCTTCATTTTACCTTAGCAGGGACTGATGGTGTGCAGGCACTGCCCACACCAGTCTTCTGTCATAGCAGGGTCATTCTGGAGGGCTCATAATATTGGGATGTTGGAAAGGAGGATTTCATACAGGCAAATGGCTCTTTTGATCGAGGTTTTGTATTTTTCTTTCCGCTGCTCTCTTGCATGCTAAACTTGTACATGTCAGGGTTCCAGAGAAAGAATATGACTTACAGAAACTGCCTTGAAAAGAAGTGAAATGGCTTGTTTTAGAGAGGCAGTGTGTAGTGCCATTGTTATAAATACAGTTTTATTTGTAGATGAGTCATTAGGGAGATGAAACTTTTTGAAAATAAGTTCATAAAACGAAGCTATGAGGCACCAATTTTTCAGAGATTAAAGAAGTCATCTGTACTGAGTTCAGTTTTTTTAAGGTGCTGAAAATGTTCAGAACTTGCCATGTGTTGGAGAGGTGCCCTTCCAAAGACATTGCAAGAGGTCCAGGATTTCCTAAGATCTTGTAGGAATGAACAGTAACTATTTTCTCTGAAGGGTTATATTTGTAAAGTTGGCCAAGACTGTTTTTTAAATTTATGTTCAATTCTTTTACCTTTGACTTGTTGAAGTTTCTGCATTCAATTTTGAATACCCTTGAAGTCTTTTTTTTAGAGAGATTTTTGCTATTCTGTGTGTGCGCTCACCAGAGAGATAGAGACAGAAAGCGAGAAATGCCCCCCCCCCCCCCGGGAGGATGGCCATGCCACAATCCCTTCTCCTCCATTCTCCTCTCGGGATCTTGGGCACACACACACA